GACGACTACTACTACTATACTACTATACTACTATACTACTATACTACTATACTACAATACTACAATACTACTCTACTACTACTACTACTACTACTACTACTACTACTACCACCACTACCACTACCACTGCCACTACCACTACTACTAGTATTAATACTACTACTACTCCTACTCCTACTACTACTACTACTACTACTACTACTACCAGTTCTTCTTCTACTACGACTAGTCGTCGTAGTGTAACACTAGCAATACAAACAGCCCAGGAAGTTCTACACAAGTACTAGTAGCAGCATCAGCAGCAGCAGCAGCAGCAGTAGTAGTAGTAGCAGCTGTAGCAGCAGCAGTAGTAGTTGTAGTCGTCGTCGTGGTGGTGGTAGTAGTACTAGTAGTTACTATCACCACTACTACTACGACTACTACGACTACTACTACTACTACTACTACGACGACGACGACGACGACTACTACTCACTGCCACTCCTGCTACTCCTGCTAGAGCGACTGCGACGACTGCTACGATAACGAAGACCCCCACGACGACGAGTACGACTACAACTGCGCCACCACCAGCACCACCACAACCACCATCACCACCACGGCCATCAGCTCCGCTAAGTTCGTCCGCCCTCTTTGGCAGTCTGACTCCTTTGCACAGTCGTATTCCTAACATATTGTGTTGCATCGATGTGACGGCTGTTGCTCTGATGCTGGAACAATCGAAGGTGCTTAAATGGTGGAGTGTGATACAGCATGCCCAAGGCTAAAAGATTCCCGGGCTGAATTGCTTTGGCTTGCTGAATGTTATAGCGATTACATCCAATCCGGCCAGTCTGCGTGGAACCAAACTGACAACCTCAACAAAAGCATCTTCCACCTGAACTGATAACCTCAGCTCAATGCTTCGCCTTCGCACTCTCGGCTCAATGCGCTTGGGAGCAAAGACCTCGCGGAGACCAGAGAACCGGCGTATACGGAGGAGGTGGAAGTACTGAGCTGACAGGATCTCACGGACTGTTCCGGCAAGCACGAGACCTGAAGCCAGCTTGTAGGGCTTATGATCTGAGCAATCATAGTGCGACGAATGGTGTGACGAAGATGAAGAAGATGAGGATGAAAATCAACATGAAGCTGCACCTGAAGCTGGAGATGATGGTGATGATGAAGATGATGATGACGATGAAGATGATGAAGATGACGAAGACCATGACGATGATGATGGTGGTGATGACGATGATGGTGGTCGTGGTCGTGGTCGTGGTCGTGGTCTTGGTCTTGGTCTTGGTCGTGGTCTTGGTGGTGGTGGTGGTGGTGGTGGTGGTGGTGGTGGTGGTGGCGGTGGCGGTGGCGGTGGTGGTGGTGGAGCTGGGGGAGCGGGGGGAGCTGGTGGAAATGGTGGAGCTGGTCGAGCTGGTGGAGCCAGTGGAGGTGGTGGTGAATGGTGGTGTGTGAAACAAACTGTGCTTTCGCCGCCATGAACCAAGGCTACGGTGACGGTAATGAGCACGATCATGATGATGACGATAGCGAAAATGGCAGTGTTGTTGAAGCACAAGATGGCGATGTGGAGGATGTGGACGGTCTGGCTGACTTTGAAGATGATGCTGATGATGATGGTGATGACGATGGTGATGATGATGGTAGTGGTGGCGGTGGTGATGACGATGATAATGCTGATGCTGATGCTGATGCTGCTGATGCTGATGCTGGTGCTGGTGCTGGTGCTGGTGCTGATGATGATGCTGGTGATGATGGTGATGATGATGATGGTGGCGATGATGATGATGGTGATGATGGTGATGATGGTGATGACGATGGTGATGATGATGGTGATGATGATGGTGGTGATGATGATGATGGTGATGATGATGATGATCGGAATGTTAAAGATGATGATGATGGTGGTGATGGCATTGATGGTGATGCTGGTGCTGATGATGATGCGGACGATGGTGATGATGGTGGTGATGATGATGGTGATGAAGGTGATGGTGATGATGATGATGATGATGAAGATGATGAAGATGATGATGATGATGATGATGATAATGGTGACGATGTTGACAAGGATGATGACGATGATGATCATGATGATGGTGATGAAGGTGATGATGGTGATGACGGTGATAATATTTTTTTAAAATTATGATGTTGATGTTGATTCTGATGGTGATGATGATGATGATGGTAGTGGTGGTGGTGGTGGTCATGATGATGATGATGATGATGATGATGATGATAACGGTGATGGTGGTGATGATGATGATCATCATCATCATGGTGATGATGGCTATGACTGATGACGATGATGAGAAAGATAATGCAGTGGAAAATGATGACATGGTTACTGCTCTCATGTTTCAGAAAGTAGTAGTGGGATAGTAAAGTTGGTGGGAACCGGCAGGAGGAGGAGAAGAGACTCCAGAGCACTCATCCCCACAACCATCAGCACTACATACAATCCTGATGGACATGGGGAGGACAAAGCAGGGAAAACGGTATCAGTATCCGCCTCGGCCGGCTGAGCGTACAGAGGTTCCTTCTTGGGGCTCTTGGGGCTCTTTGTGCCCCCAAACTTTTCAAACCTCCCCCTCCCTGGCTCCAATTGCATGGGTTGCAGGGCCTCGGCTGCCACTAGTAAATCTTCTGGATCCTGGTCAACCCACACAAAAGACGATTCCCGATCCCAGACGCCCTGACTCGGACGTGACTCAGATTCTTGGGCAACACTCCAGAACCGCAGGCCTGCTTCAGGGACCCCGCGGCCTGACGGGTTGTTAAGGTGGAAATTTGGGGGCCTGAGGTTTAAGGAGCTTGCTGTAAAGCACGAGCATGGAGTCGGGATGTGGTGGAAGATCTCCCTGCCAAAGTGGAAGTTGGAATGGCGTGGAGCATCATAAGGCATTGACCGAGTCAGAAAGGCCTAAAGGTATACGAGGGTTTCATCATGCTACTCCTAGTTGGTCCTAGTTCCAGGTTGCAGACGGTAGCTGAATGGTTGCTAATGTCTTCAATGTTGCAACCTCGCATTCTCTACACTCTACACAAGTGGATGCAGCAGACTTACGGCTTCGAGTAGGGCGCAGCACATGTCCAGATACTGCGCATAACTTGGAGCCCAGATTTGAAGACCGCTCTCGTTCCAGCTCTCTCGCGAGGGCGCACCAGCATCTCTGACAGCGATTTTGACACCTGGATGGCTGGCAAACGCCGAAGGACAGGCAATGGGCACATGTCTCTTGCACCAGACAGTGCCCGGAATGACTGCAACTTGCTGAAAAACTGGAACAGTTTTGGCGCCACCATCCACATCTGGTCTCTATCCCGGCTGCCCTTGCGCAGGAAAAAACATGGCGCAAGCCGGGCCTTTAGCATGGAGCCGACTGCTTCCACCTAGCCCTAAACTTCGATTTTCAGTCACTGCCAAGCCCTCATGTCAGAGACGCGGATGTAAACTTCGTGAGCCAGCCGGCGGAACATGAACGAGATTCCTTCTTCAACGGGACCCAGATTATTTCCGTCTTGTTTGGCCGTCTTGAGCGCTGCGCTGTTCCATGCTGAGGCCACGGCGCATGACGGCCTCTGCAACGAAGCATCGGCTGCATTGATCTGCCTGTCGTGTCTGACTAGTATCAGAGGTGCCAGTGGCAGAAAGCTACGGGATGAGCCTTGAAAAAACAAGTGGGTCTTGCTGCCTCGTAGAGTCGTAGCAGTTACGCTGTAACTCCCGGAGTCGAAACCTGCTCAAGTCCGAAACCAAACTCTCCCAGCCTGGTTTTTTTATTGTGAGCCCAAGATCCAACAAGCCGAGCATTTCCCAAACGAGGCAAGTTCACGGCTGCTGCGCACGTCTGCTTTGCGGACGGCGGCTGCCGGCCATTATGGACCACTATGGAGTATTGTAGCTTGACTGCTTTGTTCTTGCTCTATTTCGGTCTGCCTTCTGTGGTTCGCTAGCTGCCTGGCCTGTCGTCCGCTTGTGCCACGAACACCCGAACACCACGAGACAGTGACTTTAACAACCGCAAAACTACAAGCTTCGACCATCCCAGGCGAATGCCATCCAGAGTTCACTCATCGAGTTCGTCGGCGGGGGGATTGGAGGGGTCGGAGATTTGTACCTCGGGCACCTCTCGAGTGCAAGTGCAGACCTGGATGCAAAGGGCACTATTTTGCCCCCATCTAATATTATTATTATTATTATCATTATTAAGCTATCGAAGGCTAAGGGCCGCTCCAGTGCTCGAGACAGCACTGGCTCGACCGAACTAGCAGGAGCTTGCACTCGTGCCCCAGTGGTAGCCACATCTCAGAATCCTAGTCTTGGTCGAAATCATCTCAGACATAACTTCGCCGTACCAGGCACCATTGATGTCAGGTGCCAGCAGCTCGGGTGAGGCACTCTCCTGCAATAAACACCTCGAACCGATTTGAATAGAAATCAGCTCGGAGCTGCCCAGCAGGTGGATTAAAACATGAGGGGTGCGAGACTATGTCGTCAAGGTCGTCTTCTGAGACTCTCGATGCCAGAGTCTATCGCCGACATGCGACACTCATGATGCAGAATGGTCAGCACAGCCTACTGTATCGATGGCAAGTACTAGCTGGCTGAGATAACCTCGATCCCCTGGCATAGTCTGGAGGCAGGCTATGCTCGGTGGGACGAGACGTCTGCTCCGGCCTCAGCAAAACAGCCGCGGCGTGCTTAACAGAAACCTGGACAGTGCCAAGACAGCGCATCACTTCGGGCAGCACAATAAAACCTTGCATGGAGCTGGAGCCTGCCACGAGCCGAATCCCGCCCTGGCCTACACGCTTGAGCGGCATCGTATGGTTAATTTACGGGTACTGTCTGAACTTACATGTAAATCTCACGTGATACCGAGGCCAAGTCCTTCGACATCCCTGCCGCGAACCAAACCCTGCAGGGAACCAAGGCCCAAACTCTTCGATGCATTGCTACCGGCGCGGAGAAGAGCCCCCCGCCTGTCTCGAGATTCTTGAATTGGGCATAGACGTCGATGTACACGTGCGCGATTGCACAAATAAAATCACAAACATGAGCAGATCTATCCACGCATGTGTGAAAGCATATAACCTGGACATCGCTTCGTCTGCAAACCCATCCAAGTCTGCCTGTGCGCATACCTGCTTCTGAAGATTAATTGTCTCATTGCCTGAACTTGACCCGCTGCTTTACACGAAAATAATGACTACAACATGCAGGATGCACAAGAATGTCTAAGAGGTAGAGATCGCTGTAAGAAGGCTTAGGATGGTTCGGGCGCGGAGCATTAGAGAAGGGGAGCCGACATGATCCGCAGGTGTTGGAGCCTCGTGAATGCGGATGCTGTCCTAGTATCCAGTGGTGCCGACGCTTACATGCTCCCGTCCATTACAGTAACCTTTACCTGGATCTTGCTGCACTCATACCCAGACTTGGCTAACCAAACAACTGCCACCCAGTCGCTGGTTCACAGACTGCACACGATGAAAGCTGTAGTACCAAAGCAATCCTGCCTTCCTCATGCGAAACCACCTGAAGCCCCAAAGTTCACACAGACCTGTCGGACTGCTCGATCGGCTGCAAACCGTTCCGCCGGCACCTGAAGACAAGTCGTACTTCTTGGGGCCTGGCCCTGGTAGGGCTTAGCCGGCTTCGGGCTTTGGGTATGGTGAGGCTTCAGGGCTTCGCAACATGAAGGCTCACTTATGAGCTGTGGGGCTTCGTCGTCGCATCCTGCCCTGCAACACCCGGGGGACCCCAAGTTGGCCCAGACTCGCTGCCTGTGATCTGGGCGACACAGCGGCCTGCGCCTGCGCCTCGACTCAAAGGTCGTGAAAACTTTAGATCTCATGATCCTGACAGCGCTCTTGCCCTGGGACTCGCTCAGAAATCTATGCCACACTGTTGCATCTTGTCACACGATGAGCATCGCGCATTCAGTTCTAGCTGCCAAGCAGTAGCCTCGTGAACAGTAAGAATCCCTCTTTGTCTTCAGTTGTGCCCGCTGTGCGGCCTCAGGTGATGCTGGGGCGATTCTGGCCTCCCATCGCAAAAAAGGCAACAGCTGCACACATGAAATTCTTCCCCGACCCTCATGTCCGCGATTTTGATACCAGACACGAGCGGATCCCAGGCCTTCTCATGGGCCTTTGACTTGCCCTTCGCCTTGGGTGCCGGCCTTGCTCCGATGGTCTCTGATCTTCGGGACTACTGTAATCAGTAATCAGGACAAGCCTGAGATTCTAGAACATCATGGACGTAAATGAGCATTCAGCCCGAACAAGAGCATTGCAAGAACATCTGCCTGAAGCCATCATTCAGTAGGGCAATAGAAGGTAACGAAGAATGAAATTCATGCTCCCAGGGCGAGACATCAGCCATTCCCCCCCCCCCCCCCCCAAGGTGCTTCGGACTTGGGGTCGGGACCTCTTCTCTGGTACTGCACCTGCGAAAGAGGCCATCCTTTCCAACATCTTAATCAACCCTGGCCGTCAGCCGGAGCTGCAGCCGGAACCCTGCGCACGAACTCTCTACGTTCTTCACAGTCTGCACTATCTGCACTCACTCACCCTGGGCCTTGCGGAGCCTTTGCAGCCTCCGTTGTCGGTGACCTGCCAAGAGCACCGGATGCACGGAACCCACAAGAGTCAAGTTGCCCCACCAAAGGCGTTTGGCAGCATGGCGCACGTTGCAAGAGCCGTGCCTTTGCCATGAACACCGAAACAAGCTGGCGGCATTTCACGATTTCAGTCCGTCAAAGTGACATGATATCTTAACAAGCCCAGCTTCTGTTGTTGTGGTACAACGAAATGGCAACTCGAAACCCGAGAATAGAGGGCTGACCTTTGCGAACCCGGCGGGCCTCTATGGCTCCGTCTATGCCATACAGTCTATGCTGCGTCAGAGTCCTGCGCTGGCCTTTAGAGGCCTGTGGATCCCAGGTTGCAACCCACAACTCAAACGAATCCCGATGGACTTCAGGAGCTCTTGGCTTCTGGAATCGCATCCCGAACAGCGGAGGATGCAGGCATCGCCGAACATCCCGGAAGCCTTGAAACTCAGTTCCCCACCTGGACCGCACCCTCCGCTGCGGAGTCTCCTGTTGCACACTCTTCATTGAGCTTCTCTGCGATGATCCGCCGCCATGTAACACTCTTGCCTTACACCTGTCTTCCTGCACTCCACTCTTCCGCACTTCCGCTGCTGCACTTGATCTTCCATTGTCATATACGAAGGCTTCGGATTGAAGGGTATTGCTGCAGGCGTGGGTCAGAAGATATCGGAATCCAGCAATCCAGACTGGAAGATTCCGAAAGCTGAAGTGAACTGCACGACACCATACACATCTAAGACACGTATGAAGGCCCAAAGTATGGATCAGGTGGAACATGGCCGAGCACTTCTGGTGCATGCCTGCTGTACCTCGTCTTCGTGAGGCACATCCTGTGGCAAGGACACAGTCGGGAAGAGAGCCTCAAGTAGAAAACATTCAAAACTTTCGGGCCAGGGGTATTGCTGCAAATACCAGATGCAAGTACTGTGCCAGGCAGGCAGGCAAGACTGTCTTCCTTCGGTATGCTGCACTTTTCTCAAAACTTCAAGGTGAAGAAGGGAAAGGAAGATCCGCCAGGACACTGGTCAGGAGAGCTTGACTCATTGACAGACACGTATTGAGGCTCTGGGCTAAGGGCGTGTCCAGCAACCTGGAATTATCGTGACCGGACACAGCGCGCCTCTTCCAGCTCCGACTTTTTGAGGTGATGCTTCTTGGCCTTCTCTTTCGTGGGCTTTAGGGCCAACAGTGGCACTGCACGTGTGCCAGTGTGACGAATTGCAAAGAGCGTGCAACTCAGCGCTGGCAATGCGACAGATAGTGGTAGACCGTAGACCGGAAATATACTACCGGCTTCAGAACCGGAAACAAGACCGAATCACAGAAAATGGACAACCTCCACTTCAATCCGTTGAACCCTGTCCTCAGTCCGGCTGTTCAAACAAAGGCCTCAAATCACACCCCGGTCGAAAAATCGAAGTGTCACCTCGACCACATAGAAACGATCGTCCCAGGCCGGGCGTGCGTCTACCTTTCGACGGGACAGCAGTGACATTCGGATTCTAAGCGAAAGGAATTTTTGAGCATCTTGGCGGGCTGCAGCACGGCGGCGGCTGAGGTCGTAGGAGTGATGATTGCATTTAGTACAGGGCAGCAACAGCATTTCGGTTTGAGAGTCTGGTTCGCTGTGCTTGGAGTTGGGCAGCTGAACCCTCAATGCACCTTCTTTCGCGGCGTCATTTTCGATGCCGTGGCTGGCTGGCATTGCTGACTCCTCTACTTCGGTGCGCAGTGCAGCTCCACCAAGCTTTTCTCGCAATGTGTCTCTTTCGCTCTTGCCCTCTCCCCCTGTCACTGGGCCACCTACTCTGCAAAAAAGCAACAAAGATACTGCTCCTGCGCGGAGGTGATTTAGTTCGAGGTGGACTGTCTTCACCTGCAGGAAGGCTCTTGAGGGCAGGCTGGATCCTGATGAGATACTCTACATGTACTACATGTGGCAGGGTTCTGTCGAAGCCTTCAGTTTTCTTGTTGTGCACTTCGGTGCGACTACTCCAGTGTTCTCAGCACCGCATAACTTGGCACTGGGCCCATTTACAAGTTAGGGATGGCCTTGCCCACACCGTGCCCCCCCCCCCCCACGCCAAAACTCATGAAATTTCTCATTTTTCAACTTTCATTTTCATAACCGCCTACCACTTACCCCCCAACACCCCAAAATCACAAAAATATTTTTCTAACAGTATAAACAATTTTTTCCACCCAAAAAATCAATTTTTTCTCACTCTTCACCCCTTTTCATCACAGTCAAGCAACAGCATTTTTCCCTTGTTTAACTCCCAAATTTTTTTCAACAAGCATACGAAAAGCAATTTTCCAATTTTTCCCCCAAATATTTTCTCAATTTTCCATTTTCAACAAGCATAGCAAATCGCTTTTCCCCCACTCATTTTTCAAGCAGGATATAATATTTAACAAAAAACAAAAAAATCTGTCGTATCTTCTTCAAGAAATTTCTCAACGTGCCCCCTAAAAACTTTTTCAGCAACATAACTTTTAACAACTCCAACCCTCCAACGCCTCAACTCCTACACCCTTCCAAAATCTCACCGAAAGACCCCACACTAGCAACAACCTTAACCCCATTACCTGTATCCACCTTCAATATCTCACCGAAAGACCCCCACCTCAAGAACAACCAAAACCCCAACCCCTACGCCCTTCCAAAAAACCCCCAACTCCCCAAAACCTC